CAATGTCCTCCATTATCTTCATCACTACTGCTTTCTGACCGCTTCCTTACGATCAGCAGCTTACTGTTCGGTCCGCAAAGCACTCTCCGCTCCACGGCGTAGAAAGATCCGTGTTGCGAGGCGGTTCGTTGTCCCTGGCCTAGAACTCTGCCTATTGGCGACGGAGGTGGCGCTTGGGGTAGCACGTTGTTCCTAGATAAGTCAATGTGTATATCGGAGCGATATCCTGATGTGGCTTCACTCGCCCTTGTATAGGCAAAAGAGGGGCCGGCGTGGCCTGTTTCCATGTTCTCCCATCTTGGCCTCAGTGGAAAATTTCTGTCGGGGAGTGGCGTTTCAACTGGGACGTCTCGGCTGCAGATCTCACAGTTTGGCTGATGCTCTGGTCCTGACATCCTAGGTTCCGGTCCTTGTAAGTCCAAACCAGCATAATGGGTGTCTCTGCGGGCTAGTTGCACCTGTATTGACTGCATTCTATCGGTCCAACAGTCGCACTGTCCAATTCCCATCTTGCTCAGCGTCCTCAAGTAATTCGAGAGGCACTCCGTTAGTTGAGCAACAACCACGGTCCTCCTCGCTAATAGATCCTGTTGCGCTGTCACCACAGGTAGTGTGTCTATCTCTGCCATCAGGTATTTTATTAATACTCAAAGTAATTCTCTCTTGCAAGCCGTGTTGGTCACATAGTTCAGGTCGAATAACAGCATTTCCATAGTTTGGCTGTTTTAATTGATCTGTAATACTCAAAATAACAGGACACACAATTCAACAAATTTCCCTTTTCGTTAACTATTCGCGTTTTTATATTTTATCCGTTACGCGGTTTATTCATGGTAAATTTTATCCGGTCGACTGTTCAATGTTAAGTTCCACTTTTATTTATTCACTTCGAAGTTTATGCATTCGCGTCGCTTTACAAACTGAAACGAAATGAGAACTTTCTACTCATTTTATAAGGGCAAAACTCCAAATTCTTCACGGGGGCTATCTACTGGTTCCCACAATCTCAGGGAAAATTATAGCATACATATTACAAATGTGTCCTAAATTTCACAGACTTAACACATAACCTGTCGTAATAACATATTTTCTTATCGCTAATATACTCAAAAGTCTTTTCGGAACTCTTAATCCGAGCAAAAACTTTATATCTTATCTTATCTTATCAAATGGATTGGTATTTATGAACCTATTTTCTCTGCCCTCTGCAGGAGCTGTCGGCATATTCACTGGCTGTGTAACCCCTATGATGGGGTTGAACTCTGTATTTAAAGCGGAAGATACTTTTTGCTAGGGAAAACTATAGCCAAACTTAAAATTAGAGCAGCCGCTGTCACCATTTGAAATTTAGAAACGAAGAATGATACTTACCAGAGAACTATCTTAGATGTTGTCTGCAGAAGTAATCACCCTCCAAAGGTTTGGCTTAGCTTCTCCTATCAAATAGGCACTGTTTTAGTATAGAAAACTTCTTCACTTAAGTCCTTCCAGGCGCTTTGTCGGGATATGCCATTGATACCTCTTATGAACTTTTCCTAGTGAGTTCTCTCATGTATTGTGAGATATAAATATACTCTATGTTCCCCTTTTTCCCCTGCTCTCCTACCAGTATAATTACCGGCAATAATACACCGCTTTCAAAGTTGATAAGTATAATAAAAAAAAATATATAAGAAATTCGAAACTTACAAATTAATATAATATTAACGACAAAAATAAGCAAAAAGAAACCAGACCATCAAATTAACAACCAGACCATAAGAGCATGCTCAACCGGCATTCGATTTAATATTCATAAGCATACCCTTTATTCGGCAACTCTATATGAGACAAACTATTTAAATAAATATTCACCCACAGTGTTTCAATAAAATTATATGGTTAGCCACCAGACGAAAAAACCCTANACCTCCTCTGCAACAATCGCAATATACAAACCCATCTGGTGAGGCACCTAATTGAGGCCACGTAACGCTTATGACCAATCCCACTTTATTTACTAAAAAATTTTCATGTTTTTCTATCATGGATTCATGATATTTATTAATTGCTGTTTCCTCATGCTCTATTCCCCATTTCATTTGTTTAGTGCATATTTTTTGAGGGTAACATATTAACTTAATTAGTGACAAGGATGGTTTTTTTAAGCTTGTCTTGCATACATCTTTAAAAACTGATGCAGTAATTCGACCAGTCCTTTGTCTATACCACTCCTCTGATGTTCTCTGTCCTTGAGTTTTCACTTCTATATCTGAAGCCATGTCCCTCCCTACATCCATCGGGATGGTTTTTCCTAATAAAATAAGTTCATCCAGAGTCTTTTTTTCATGTTTTTTATTATAGATCCCGAATATTACAGGAAGTAATGCTTCCTCTTTGTTTATTTCAGACGCAAATGGCTCGACAAGTCTCATTAAAGCTGCCTGAGAATTGGCATCCTTAATTTCTTGTAGCATGTTGCACAAATCCTCTTCGTTTATTGAAGGTACATCTGAATAGGTTTTGTCCTCTAATTTTCTTCCCCAATCCATTGAAACTACTGGTGTTGGCTCAGTACAACTTTGTGATGGAACGGGCCAGGCAGCTTTCACATCTGTACATGACAAGTTGTTTTTAACACTATTCGCATGCTCTACAGCATAT